GTGTGGAAATTCAAGGTACGAGTGAGCATGGTTTTCCCAGTCAGTGTGGGAAAAAGTCAATAAATGGGATAAATTTATTGAGGGAGAAATATGAAAAATTCTTACCTCATTCCTACTATCTACCAGGGGTGTCCAACCTTTTGTCTTATCTTCACCACATTGGAAAAAGAAGAGTTGTCTTGAGCTGCACATTAAATACACAAACACTAACAAAAGCTGATGAGCAAACAAAAAGGTCTGTGCATAATTTTCATTATATCCCCTACCACAGACAAACAATGAAGAGTTCACATAATCCACATGTGGCCCACAAGCTACAAGTTACACACCCCTGAAACAAACTCCAAATGAATCAAAGATTTAGAGGTTAAAAAAAAAAAAACCTTAAAAGTACTGAGAAAATACATTAAATTTATTCTTAAATCCAAAGACCTTTCTAAGCAAGGCAAAGTGCCAGAAGCCATAAAGACTGATAATTTTAACTACATAAATAAATTTCAGGAAAATATTCAACATATGACAATAGGCCAATTTTCTTAGCTTACAAAAGGTGTGTACAAATCAATAAAAACCAAGTCATCTAATAGAAAATGTGACATGACCATGTAGTTCACAGAAAATATCAGTAACTCCTAAACATGAAAATGTGTTCCACTTCCTTCATTAAAATGTATTTAGACTTTCACTAGTCACAAAATACCATCCATTCACTTTCAGATGATCACACTTCAAAAGCTTGGTACCCAATATTGGCATGATTCTTATAAATAATCATTTTTATATGTTAAAGTATACTGGGTAAAGATTTCTGGAGGACAATTCAGCAGTAACTATAGAACTGAAAATAAAAAATACCCTTTGAAAATACCATACCTACGGTGCATCTTACAAGGATACATGTGAAACTTACTGAATGTAGAATATTAATGTCTTAATACAATAACTAAGAAAATGCCATGAAGGCTATGTTAACCAGTTTGATGAAAATATTTCAAATTATATATAAAACCAGCACATTGCACCCCATGACCGCATTAATGTACATAGCTATGATTTAATAAAAATAAATTGGAAACCTAGAAGCCTATCAATGTAAATACTGTTCAAATTAAATTAAAATACTGTTCAAATTAAATTGCTGTTCAAACATTAAAATACTATAGTCATCAAAAAGAAAGCATTTCTACATGTGATTCAGAAAGAGCTTATAAAATAGGCAGCAAAAAAAAAGCAAGGTATAGAAGAATGTATATAGTCTGATTCCATTTCTGTAAAATTTAATTTTTTTTTGTGGCAGTTGTCATTGTTTAGCAGGCCCAGGCCGGGTTCAAACCTGCCAGCCTCAGTGCATGTGGCTAGAGCCCTACCCACTGAATGACAGGCACCACCAAATTCTTTTAATGTATTTGCTGGCAAACAAAACATTTGTTTCCTATAAAAAACATATACTTGAAGCTGGTTTACCTTTGGAGAGAAGTATTAGTATTATGAGGTAAGGGCAAGTTTTACTTATATGCCCTTCTGTGCCATCTGATATTTTTGCCATGTGCACATAGAGTAGAACCTCTGTGAGCTGACCACCCAAGGCACTGTAACAAACTGGTCAACATAAAGAAGTGGTCAACATAAGAAACTAGGCCTGCTTTACTGATAAAGACACGTGGTACATGTCCAGTCTATGAAAATTAGGTCAGCCTAGGAGGTGGTCAATGTAGGGAGGTGGTATCATGAAGATGAAGGTTCGACTGTATTATCTTTCTTCTCTCCCACTTCTTAAGAACACTTGATTAGCAGATTATTTTGAGATATTCCTAGGTAAATTTGAATACTGGTGTTATTTTTCAAAATACTGTAGTTAAGTGCCAAGTTCTGCAAACTAGAATTTCCCCTTGGATTTTCATTAAATTTTGTATTTGCCTCCTGATGAGTAAATAATAATGATTTCCTGTTAAGTATAAAGTGACATTTTGTAATGGCAGTTTGGCTCTGTAACAAATTTGTGATGGGATGATTAGGCATTGCTGCTCAAAAACCAATTCTTACACCCCAAAGGGCATTTGATGATTTGTAAATATAAACAAGATTATACATTCTATTTTGACTATAAAACATCAAACTGCAGTTCACATATACAGTTTAATATAAAGTATCCATTGAATTTAGAAAAACAGTATCACGGTGGAAAAAATAGTCATAAAATTAGCGCTTACATTTTTCTGGGGACAGAGAAGCAGAAGAAATGAGGTTAAAAGTCCCCAAAACAAACAAGCAAACAAGTAAACAAACAAAAAAAAACCTCACTACCAAAAACAGGGTGAGACAATCATTTATTTATTGGACAGAGCAAGGTCATTTAGAGAAGAAACATTTCCAAAAAAAACGTGTTTAGCTTTGTGTTACAGGCATCAATGTTCACAACAAACAACACTAGTCAATACATCATGGAAACAGGCCACATACAACCAGGAAGATGCTGTCATGCCACTCAGAGAAAAAAAGCCACAATGCTTAGGAAACACTCATTGGGGAGGTACAGAGCATAATAGTACCGATAATTCACCGATCTGTGTTTTCTGCAGCTGGGCTATTAGCCCACCCTATTTGGCTAGAAGTTCCTTGGTTAAAAGTGAATTCTCCCATATTTTAGAGAGCTCCAATTCGTAAACACTTCTGAATGTCACTGAAATCATAGTCAACTGCAGTGTTAACTAGCTCACATCACTTATATTTTTTAACTACCTTAGGCAGTAATAGACTTTCATAGTACTGCAAATAAAATTCTGTACTTAATACATTGAGCAGTGCTACAATCAGACTATATACACCCAAATCACTTTTAGTCCTATGATACATACTTGAAAAAAATAGCAGAAATTCACTGAAGTCAATTTAAAAACACTGAGTTCACCTGATATACAGGTAGCAAAGGTAGACACACTTGACAACTACCATGTCAATTACTTGCCAAATTATTTGGCATCATTTTTAGCAGAACTTTCTTTCCTGACCAGGCAGGATTAGCCTATTTTTGTTTGTTTTTTAGAGATGGAGTCTTGCTATGTTGCCCAGGCAGGTCTCACGCTCCTGGCCTCAAGCAATCCTCCCACCTCAACCTCCTGAATAGCTAGGATTACAGGTTCAAGCCACCACATCTGGCTTAGCCAAAATGTTCTAAGGAGCAGTACACCATGACTGTTTGGCTTTGAGGAGAAATTATTCAGCATACGATAAACTGAGAAACCTGTTAGGTATCTAGCTCTCCCTCAAGTCTATTGATTTTCCCAACAACTTCCTTTCACAGCAATAGCATTCTCAAGATAGGAAGAAAAGTCTGTCACTCCACATTCTATTCTGTTTATCTGAAGTGACTACAATAGGCAAACCTACAGAGATAACTATAATAGATTAGTGGTTCCCAGGGGCTGGAGCCCACTGGGAGGAAGTAGAGGTGACTGCTAAGGGTTAAGGGGCTTCTTTTCTGGGTAATAAAATGTTCTAAAATTGTGGTCATGGTTGCACAACTTCTAAAAACCACTGAATCGTACCCTTTAATTGCATGAATCATAAGCTATATGAATTACAGCTCCATAACATTGTTACAAAAACATATGAGGAAAGGAAAACAACCTCTCCAACAGCAAACAAGAGGCTCTCTCCAATCAAGTCATACCTGAGGAAATGGTAGACAAGCCTGATGGGAGGAGCTGGTTCCTTACATGTATTTTCATTGTCATCATTTTAACCCTGATTTCACATGTTTAATTCATTCCTAAGTCATTTTAAGTTATCAGATTTCTAATTTTGTTCTCATTAGAGACCATACTCAGTGTTCCACAGACAGACTGTGTTGGCAAAACAAAATTAAACTAAAACAACAGTAAAAACCCAATGACAAAACAATCTTGTGCTTTGGGGCTACGTGTTACCAGGCAGCATAGAAGAGCTGAGGTTCATCTCTAACACGTGCCATTAAGTGCCATTAAGTACGGGTATAAGGCCATTTTATGACTCTTGCCTAAAGCACATTTCCTTTTTAATCGGTGTACAGTTATTCCCTTTACACCTATACAATTTGACAAAAGCAATGTTTTTATACCTGTACAATTCAACAAGAGCAATGTTCTCTACAAAGAAATGCTGAGTTTCCTGCAGCTTCCTAACTCAAAGAGCTAGCCAAAATTTCCTAAGAGTAAAATTACCGTTTCCAAAAAAATTCATCTTTGTATCCTCATCTTCACCTTCGGTAACATAAAGTGAAGATGGGAAATTTAGCCTGCTACAAATAAGTATTACCAATTTCCTAAATGACCTTAATTTCCTAAAAAGTAAAAAATATCATTTAGTTCCAAATATTTAGAACATATTTGGCCCAGTTCCTTTGAAGTCTGTCGTTAGATTAATGAGAAGTTTCCTTATTTTCATGAACACTAGTTCATTATGAAAGAAATAGAGACTCTGAATAAGTTATACTAGTTAATGACAGACAAGTAATCAGTTCTTCTCAGTGATTATTATTCTTTTACATAGACAGGATAATGAAATCACAAATGGTCTTTTTGGTTTATCTCCCACTATTTTTATACTACATAATCAGTTAGGGAAAATTTTTATAGCTAAAGAGAATACATGTAGCTTTACATCAAGTTGAGCTTGTTAAGTATATTTGTTATGACCAAGAATTTCTGACACAAAATCGCTCACTATACAGAACCTCAGAAGTACTGAAACAAGACAGCTGATGTTAGAATTTATATAGGAGTGGGGTAGGGTGAGAAGTTATGGATAAATTAAAAGCTGGCAAGTATCTGCTGAAGCAGAGCCACTTTTTAGGGAGATACAAGGAAAACTGATAAATCATCATTTTGTTCTCATTAGGGAAATTCATATGTTGAGAAGTAAAGACCATTTTGCTACAATTCATGCTGCAAAACGCAGTAGTCACATAGTATAAAGAATTCCAAAAACTGTAGTGCAAAAGGAAAGAAATCTAAGAAAATAAATAATCACAAAAACCAACATTTTCTAAGAAAATGTGCTCAAAACAGTGGGTTTTACAAAAGACATAAATTTGATTTAAATGAAAAAAAATTCTCTATGTGATATACCAAAAATTCATTTCATGGATAATGTAAACTCATTATTTGATTAACTGTATATAAATAAGTGCCATAGTTTTTTTAATTAGGTCTGAAAAATCAGTATAAATACTGATGGGGGGAGTGCTTTATACCCCAAATTCCAATATTCCAGCTCTGTGTCCTGTCCTATTATTATAATTTGTAAAAATCTTAACGACGCAGTGATTCGAGTTTGCGTAACTTCAATGATGTGTTAGAGGACAATGCATCTTGGTTTGAAGAATTTGATGTATCTGAAGGCCGGAACAGTACTCGACCACGATGATTAAATACATAAAAGGATGGGTGATTCCTTAATGTATCAAATGTCCTTAAAAGAAAAAAAGCACCAATTTTAGGTAAACTTTTATAAAAGCCTATCTCAAAATAAACAAGCTTTCTAATGAATTATGAATTTGCTATCAGTGATATTTTTAACAAGTATAAATCTATGAAATCAGACTGTAAATGATAAACATACTATATCTTGTTTTTTCCTACATAAAGAAAATAAGAAACTTGTAAAAGCAGCATAAAAACCTCAAATTTCTTTTTTATTCAGCCATTCCTTCCAGGATGCTTATGAATAATAACACAAATACTACTTCAACTTTAACCACTTCTGTCACTCTAACAGTAACCCATGCCAAAACAGTCTTTTAAAAACCCAGCACATAGATTACAACTTTGACTATTCTCATTTGGCCCTCACTAATTCAAACCATATAATAGTTTCACAGATATGTTTTACAAGAATCTTTTAAGTATAATGAAAAATTATTTTTGGCACTCTAGCCCTGCTATTGTCCAAACTCATGTATTTTGCTACCACCTACTTAGTGCCATTCTGCTTGGCTTCTTTCTTTCCTGGCCGCTTGCTGGTGATTCTTGATAGACTCTTTGTAAAAGCAGTGGTGATAGTGGAATATCCTTTCCTCCTTTCCAGCGAGTATATATACTTCAGTGTATGGCCTTTAATGTTTGTTTTTAAGTATTATTTTTCTGGAAAGAATAGACGAATTCTTCCTTTGATAAAAACTCAAAGTCAGTCCACCTAAACATCCAAGCATACCCCCACACAAAATAGGAGGGCTGACAAGTGACTATTTAAAATGTTAATAACAAACTAAAAGGGTAAAATAAGTTTCCTTTAACACATAAATGTTTACTGTGACTCCTACGAAAATAATGTAAACGGATATCACTTTTAGATAGGTAAAGTCCAGAGAGGGAATTGACAAAGCTAAGTTTTAGGAAAGTAAAAATGTGGGGGAAAAAGCAAACAAAAACTCATGAAAATGGCTTTAGTAAAAGTATAGGTGGAAAAAAATGAAAGCAGAGTAACACATATACTTTGAATCCAGGGTAGAAAGGGGCCTGAGAGTAGAGTTTATATCACAGAGTAGGCTCAAGTGAGAGAGGAAACAGAAAACCCCTTATTATTCCAAAGACTAAGCTAGGACAAGAGGATAAAAAGAGAGAAAAGCAGGAGAGAGGAAAAGCAGAAAGGGAGAAGGGAAGGAAGTAGGGGAAGGAGGAAGTAGGGAGCTTGGTTAAAATCTCCGAGAGATTGTCTTTCTATATTATCTATTTCCATCCCTTTGTCCATTTATCCAACCAGCCAACTAGTAGGTACCATGAAGTAATATCATACTCTAATGCCAATAATCTGGCAATCAACTCCCATTTCTCCTATCATATCAAACATGACCTCAAGGTTTTTACATCATTGTTCATACAAATTACATAATCAAAATGTAAAAAACAAAACCATTTTATATATCAGAAATCATATATTTTAAATTACATGAATAAAGCAAACCCCTATGATATTCAATGCCTATGAAAAGGGAAAGACTTACTTATTTTTTAGTTCTGAAGTGGCATCCATGTCTTTAAACTCCCCTGCAATATGAACTATACCATAACAGGTAACTGCAAAGGCCAGAAGTGTCTGAAGAACTATCTGTGAGTATAAAGATGAATTACTAGATAACACACAAATGTTATTAGAAACATTTACAATATCCTCTGCACTTCTTTTTTTTTTTTTTTTTTTTAGAGACAGAGTCTCACTTTATCACCCTCAGTAGAGTGCTGTGGCATCACACAGCTCACAGCAACCTCCAACTCCTGGGCCTAGGTGATTCTCTTGCCTCAGCCTCCCAAGAAGCTGGGACTATAGGCACCTGCCAAAACGCCCGGGCATTTTGTTGTTGCAGTTTGGCTGGGGCTGGGCTTGAACCCACCACCCTCGGTATATGGGGCCAGCACCCTACTCACTGAGCCACAGGTGCCGCCCACTCTCCACTTCTTTATAGCCTCTAACAGGTAGTCCTTTCAGGGCTACTCATCAGGGAGTGAATTCTCACTTGAAATGATTTGGACTCAGATACAATAAAATCTTCTGTAAATTCTGTGGCTTGGCTGCAAAAATACTTCTGATACTTTAGTAAGTGAACTCAGTGACATGTTAATACTTCTGATACTTTAGTAAGTGAACTCAGTGACATGTTTGAATAAGCAAAATCACTGAGGACTGAATGGGACTAAGCCACTCAAAACTCAAATATCAAATATTACCCACTTAAAAGAGCAACTAAGAATTTTTAAGGTATTATTACATAGAGTACATAAAGCCCATGTGTACCATGTAAAGAAAATCAATAAAAAGGTCACCTTCCCACCACCCAGCTTAAGAAACAAAACATTCCTAGCACCTTTCAAGTCCCACGTGTCCCTCTGATTATATCCTTTAACTACTGCCCCAAATTGTGCATTAATTCTGCTATGTATGAATCTCTGAAAAATGTTATTACTTTTGCCCATTTTGAACTATTTTAAAATGGGCTCAAATGTCTTTTGTCTAGCTTTCCTCATTCAACATTATGTTAGATCCATCCCTGCTGTAGATGTAGTTGTAGTCTGTTCTTTTTCGTTGTGTTTTGTATTTCATTATTATGAAACGACTACAATTTATCCAATCCACCCTTGCTGGATGTGGGTTGTTTTCTGTTTGTTACTTTTATGATATCAACATGAACATCCTTGTGTATGTCTCCTGGTGCACACGAGCAGAAATGCTGAGTGTAGAGAATGCATATGTTCAACTTTATCAGGTAATTTCAAACTGCTTTCCAAAGAGGTTAAGCAAGCAAAAACATCAAACATTTGATATTAAATATGGAATTACAGACATATTTTCTTGTGCTTTTGTGTATTTTCCAATTTGTAAGCAGAAAAAATTATTTAAAACAGATATAAATGACTATATGTGTATATTCACAGCAAAGCAAAGGTGTTAGGAGGAGTTAATAGCCCCATATCCTTAATTATAGACAACTACAGTCAAAATTAACCACAAGCTATTATTCTGTCTAAAGCCAAATGTCATATGTAGAACCAGTTTACATTCCCACCACCAGTGTAACAAAAGACTTAGTTCATATGATGCAATCATAGGCACTTTTAACAAGAATGTAGTCAATCTATATAAGCTGTCATGAAAATATGTTCAAGATAAATTGTTAATTAAAAAGCTAATGACAAAACTCTCTATATATATACGCATGAACTTTCTAAAGAAAAAAATTGTGTTTTGATTAGGTTAAACTCTATATACATATGTACATAAAGATAATGTTTATGCATAGGAAGAAGAGTGATCTGCTGGTATACTCCAAAATGACAGGAATAAAAATGGAATTGTTGAAGATAGGGTTAGTTTTATTTTTGTTTTTTAATTATGTAGTAGCAGTTTTAATTTTTATACTTACTGTTTGATTCTGTTACAAAGAACTTACTATTTTTGTCATTTCAAATTCAGTAAAGATAAAAACACTTTACTGTTTTTCTTTAGTTTTATTGCCTATTTGTCCCTAAACAATATTGTTAGCTTTGCTTGTTTTTAAACTTTATATCAAAAGAAACTTTTCTTAATAAGGCAGTCTGGGTGATGTGGCTCATGGTAACCCCAGCACTTTGGGAGGCAGGAGGATCACTTGAGGCCAGGAGTTTGAGACCAGCCTGGGCAACATAGTAAGGAGCCATCTCTCTTTCTTTTTTAATTAGCCAGGCATGGTAGTACATGTCTATAATCCTAGCAACTTGGGAGGATGAGGTAGAAGGATAGCTTGAGCCCAGGAATTTGAGGTTACAGTGAACTACATAATCACACCTCTGCACTCCAGCCTGGGTGACAGAGCAAGAAAAAATAAATAAATTTTTAAAAAGTCAAATAATCAACTTTTTAAAACATTCTCATGCTACAGATAGAACAATTTCTAGAAAGACTATTTCAACTATAGTTCTAGAAACCAGAGAAATCTTTTAAGGTTTTCAAATCCTTGGGATTTACAATGAATGATGAAAATGGGGGAACATATGCTATTTAATGTCTGGGAAATTTTAGAAGAATAACGACCAATGAAAAAATTATCATAAGCTATGTGGCTAATTTTAACAATATATTTTAATAGAATATAAATGACCAACTTACATCTATTGGCAGTGATTCATCTTCCTTTTCTGTTAATCGCATATAAGAACGATCTATAAACCAGAAGCATACCATTAAGGAAATTGTAGCCCATTTTTTCTTTCTTAAAATGCAAGCAAATCAATATACCAAAGTGGCTGACATATGCTACATAAAGTAATTCTAATACCAGATTCCTCAAAAACTATCTTCTAAGGCTGTCAGCCTTAATGAACTATCTTATTTTTATCATGACTTGCTTTGTCTCCTTATAAAATGGGTAATAGATGAATATGAGGTAGAAATACCTAAAAAAAAATTTTCTTTCATTATTATGGAAAAAATATAAACCTCCGAAATAAACTGTCTTTCACAACCTGGTCAAATAAATCATAATTTTTAAGTTAATAAGTCTATAGAAAATCTCACCTCTGCTATAGCACCACCATCACACGGTATGGACAAAGTGATTCTGGTATGGAAATGTTTCTCCTGAGAAAATATGCTGGGCAGGGGGAGGTGGAATAGGAATTCCAGAACATCAATTTCTGCCTCTACTATTTAATTATATTTCTGCTGCTTCCTCAACCTCAGGAGGCAGCAAGGAGTAAAGGAAAAAGATCATGATTTAGAAGCTAATAAGCCTAGGTCACAGTACCACCTTTTCAAGTTACAGAAACTTTCGGTAATCTCATTCAACTTAAGACACTTTCAGTGATTGTAACATGTATCTTAATTTAAGAGTTTAAAATGTGGGAGGGAGAGGAGAGAAGAAAAGAAACAGTATCTGTTTTTTCATTGCCCTAGTTTCCACAACAGCTAAATGAGTGTAATATGAGAATTAAATGAGTCAGCCAGTACATGATTGACAAGCTGCTATAACAAAGTCCTCTACAGCAAAGCATGCCACAGCACCCTGGTGTGCTATCTGTTACAATCTGACACAACACAATTAGTCTTAAAGGTAAACATTAGTGTCTTCCCAACATGAGCATTATAAATGCAGTGATAAACCCAGAACAATCCCTATTTAATAATGTACTTTGTACTAAGCACCGAATTGTTTTGAGTGAACGCATATTGACTCTTTCTTAAAGAGAATGTGTTTAGACACATTTCTGAATTTTTAAATTACAAGTTTTTCATAAGGACAGGTGTAAAAGAAAAATGCTACCAATACCAAAAATAGATTTTGACTAACCTCCTACTATCCATTCAATTCTCATCTAGCTTTCTTGTTTGCATGAACACTAATCTGACTGACACTACCTTTAACCAGGTATTTCCTCATCTGGAAAAACGAAGGAATTGGACTTCAATGATCTCTTCCTTGTTCTGAGTCTATAATTTCACAACTGAAGCTCACTGTAGGAAATGACATAACAGAGTGCTCTGATATAACCTGATCTCCAGGATAGCGCTTCTCAAATCAACATGCATAGAAATCACCTGGGGATTTCATCAAACTGTAGATTCTGAGTTAATAGATCTGGGGTGGGGCCTGAGTATGTTCCGACAAGCTCCCAGATGATGCCCATGATGCTGGTCTGTTGCCCACACTTTGAGCAACTCTGGAATACTTTCCTTAATCTCCCAGCTCCCACACAAAATGACTGTCCCAGCTTCCATACATCCTTACCTACTTTCGGCACTGCATCTGTCTCATCTTATTGTGATTATTTCTTTTTTATTTCCCAAGGTAAGAGGAAAGAATAGTCATTATTTCTTGATCCACTTGTTTCTCCACTAGACTTTGAACTCCTTCAGGGTATCAATGTACCTCTAGCTCCTAACCACAGTGCAATTTCAATGACCCAAGACTGAATTTAACAACGCAGTGTAGCACAAATATTTTCCCAAGGTCACACAGATTTAGCGGTAAAGCAAGTTCTTAACAACTAGCTCTTTGGACTCCCAGTGCAGGGCTCTTTCCCCTATACCAGAGTGCCTCCCATTACTTAACTTCTCAGTCTCTGCCTGGCCAGCCCAAGATGCTGTCCACCTAGTTGTCGTGGGACCAGGAGGATTCGGAGACCTCCATCCCATATTTTGCCTGATCTATACTACGCTGGATCTGACATCACTTGTCCTGGATTACTGTATAGACTTCCAGTTTGAACCCTCTCTCGGACACCTCCTTCCATTCTTCCTGCAATCCCAAGTGTCCCACTCTCCACAAATCAAAACCAAACCTTACACCGGAGACCTGTGCACTACTTTTCTTAGTCATCACAAACTGTAAGGTCTCAAATGACTGCTCCTCGGACACTGGGTCCGACAGTCCTTTCAGTGTGCGCCCACACAGCGCCCCTAGGGACCCAAATGGGAGCGGTCCACGTCTCCCAGACACTTACGCTGAGCAGCAGAAAAGGCGGCGTGGGCTAGGGCAAAGAGGCCAACGCCCACCAGCCCCTTCCACAGAGATGGCGCCATGATTCCGAAGGAGCTGCAAACCAACAAAAAAAGCGAAGGGCGGCGGAGCGGCTCCTTCTTCCACCGCCCGGTGTCCGCGCGGCGCGGAAAGATGACGTCAGCGTAGTCCGGAGCGCGAATAGTCGCGGCGGTGGAAACCAGACGGCCGAGAGAAAGCGGAAACAGGAATGCCGGGAAGAAGCGGAGAGCGACACGGAAAAGGTCCTCTAAAACCTTCGAGCCTCCGCCAAGTGGCCTCTCTGGGAGGGGCGGATAACGTAAATGAAGAAGGCAAAAGCGGGAGCAATGGGGAAGCGAGGACGCAGGGCGCCAGCAAATGAGCGCAGGCCGTAGGAGAAGGGGGCGAGGCCTGCGGAGATGATAGGGTGCGGCCGGGGGCGGGGCTGGAGGCGGTTGGGAAAGACGGTGGGTGCTGGGTTTAGGCTGACTCAGTAGTGGTTGGTTGATTGGTTGGTTTGGGTTTTCTTTCAAGCTTGTGCCATTCGTTTTCTGTAGCCCTCTTCCGTACTTCAGCCCTCTGGGAACTGGCACTGCGGAAAAAGGCAAGGGAATTAGAGAGAGGAGGCAGACGTATCATAACAATCCTCTATTTGGAGCCTAAACTCTTAGCACTCGGGAGGTGCTCAGTAAACCTTCCTCCTTAACCTTCAAAATGTCTTAGAGAAAGCTTCGGGTCAAAAGGGTTGTAGCGCGGCGGGAGTGTTTTGTCATGAAGAGTGCCAGCTAACATCAAGGAAGAAATGAAAGGGAGGGAATAAAAGTATGCTAACAAGGCATCTCAGCTTCTCTGTCTTTGATCAGGATAAAATGTACTCTCCTTTCTTCGTTTTTCTTTGTCTTCATCACCTAAAATGAAGACACTCAATACTGAGGTTCTCTCCTTGACCTCTTTTTACTCTGCTGTCCTCTGGTCAGTTCACCCATTCATTTCCACCGCTTCAGCCGCAGAGATTACAGTGATTCCAAATTTTTATCTTAAATATTTCTCCAGATCTGCGTTTCTGACTACATGCTAGACGTTTCTTTCCCCGTGAGTCGACCTGTGGTGCTTTAGACTTAATATGGCCAACGTTCCTCCAGTGCCCTCTGGTTGAGTGGCAAAGCTTTGTAAACTGCATATCACAAAGTGAATGCAAAGTGTGATCACATTCTTTCCTATTAATCTTATCAGAAGTTTACGTTTTAGCTGCATTAATTCGCTCAGCCGCAGTTGTTCAAAGATACCTGCTATCCTGACCACCCCTTTAAATTTTGCAATATTCCCATTCCCAATTCCCTTATCCTGCTCTATTTTTTATATCACCTTCTAACATACTATATAATTTGCCTTTCATATTTGTTGTGTTATTGATTGCTGTCTCTCTTCCCCCACTGGAATGTAAGCTCTGAGAGGACAGAGATTTCTCTGTGCCCAGAACTTTGTTAACTGTCACATGGTAGGCATTCAATAAATGTTTGTTGAGTGAAAAAATGTATAAATTATGGAAAAGAAGTGGGAGGGATGTATCCCTGTTTGAAAGGGTATCTACAGAGAGTCCTTTCATTATTTTGAATTTGGTTAAAAATTCCTTGTGCACTTGTATGGAGTCTTAAATTTTTATAACATTTTAGATTATAAACATTTTCTGGTACACTTGAGCTTTCTCAAAGCTGAAGAAAAAAGAAATCAAAGAAAACATCCAAGATTCATCATATTTCCTTAACTGTTTTTTTTTTTTTTTTGTCTTGAATCCTATTTTCCATACTTTTTGGTCCTGGTCATTATTTGTCTGTGGACCCTCTCCAATTTCTTCACCTCTCAGTCAAAATTTTACACAGTAGCAGATCAGTTGCAAGTGCTATATAATGTGTTTTATACAAATATAGTTCTATTTATAACCTTCACAATCAGGAAGAACCAGGAAGTAATCTCTCTCTAGTTGGCAGGAAACTGCTTCCTTCTTCACCCTTGGGAGGTAGCAAAATAGAAAAGATAACTGACAAAAAAAAAACTTAAAACTTCGTTTTAGCCTGGATAATGGTTAAATTTAAATTAGTCTATTCGGGTGCCCTTCTAAATTACCTCTTTTATATCAATTTATCTAAAATGGAAAATGATTAAGAGTTTTCTTAAAGGATCTGAGATCTGTTTCCTTTCTTTTAAAAAGATGAGAGTATAGATAAAAAGAGAAAGCCTGTAAGGAATCTGGTATTTGTTTAAGCCACCAGTGCATTATCCTAATCTTCAGGGAAGTGACTCATGTCCAGGTATTGAGTTTGTTTTCTCTATTTCCGCCTTAAAATGCATTCTCTATTCTCTCCTTTTTATCCTCTTACCCTCCTGTACTGAATGCAAGAGAAACTACCCTCGTTTTGCATTTGCTGGTAATAAATGGTTAAATCATGTTTATGGAGTGGGATTTTAATTCATAGTCACAGTTACTAAGAACTGTATCATCCAAATAAATACCTTGCATCCACTCATACGTGGTTCTCTAGGCTGGAGTTGATACCAAAGGTGCAAGGTTCAGCAAGTAGCAACACTTTTTATGAGCTCTTAGAACAAAAGTCAAATCTGTTTGTTCTGAGAAAGAATAAATTCCTGTGTGACCAAGAAGTGCCTTTAGTTTTTTCAAAGAAGCAGACATTTTCCATATGCAACATGGATAAGTGATGTGGATCTATTTTTCCTAGGACTATGTTCCTGACCATTATAGGTATCTATAAGAGGCACATTTCTATTGTAGGCACAGAGCATTTCTTCAAGCTATTTATATTTAGTATAACCTCCCTGGATAACACACTCCAGAAGTTTACTCCCTGCTGGGTAAACTAGTATTTTCAATATTGAAATTACATCCTCCTTTTTTTTTTCTTTACAGAAGTGGTGTTTGCTCATTGTAAGAAATTCAAACAACAAAAATATGTATTCCTCTAAAAGCATTGAGTGGTGCCTTGATATCTTAGTTTTGAATCTTAGTAAACATGACTGTGGTTATATGATTCATAGCTTTAAGATTTATTTGTTTGCTGGATGGTTTATATTACAGTGGTTAAAAGGATATACTCTGGAATTGCATTGGGTATGAATCCTGGATTTTCCTTTTCTACCTCTAGGGGACTGGAGCAGTTACTTAACTTCACTGTGCTTCAGTTTCCTCACCTGCAAAATGAGGATAATAATATCCTCATGACATGGTTGTTATTGGCATTGAATGAGATGGCACATACTCATATGAAGTGTTTAGAGGAGTCGGTTTCACACATAGTAAGCACTTGATAGATGCTAGCCATTGTCAATGTTGACTCTGCTATTTTTCCAAACCAAAGAAGGTCCTTATCCCTTTAGTTTTTCCTAAAGCATCAGTTGCTTCTCCTCCTTGATTATCTTAATTGCTGTTCTCTGGACCATTTCCAGAGCTGCTAATATCTCTCTTAGGGGTTCATTACTACAGCTGCACTCTGGAATATCCTAGGCTACTTGTGTATGAGGTTAATATGATTATTCATTTCAAATAGCCTTCCTACTGACACTGAAAATCTTACTTGCTTTTTTAGCACTTTGGGTTGGTCTGTTCAGGAAATAAACCGAAAACTCCAGCATTTTTATACTGGTTTCTAACTGATACCTATGACCTATTCTTTGTTCTACTTGAATATAGGCATTCCCTATGCTACTGCCCTAGGATTGAGTCTCCTTTTACTTTCTCTTCTTTGGAGAATGCAAAAGCACCCACGGCTCCCAAATCTATCGCTGGTCCTGTCCTCACTCCTGCATTGCAGAGCCAAGTTTCTAACTACTGATGTTGATGTCTGTATTTGGATATCCCACCAGCTGTCCACAGTTGAGCTTTACCTTCTGACTTCCAGATTAATGTTACTAGCAGCACTCTGTTTTCCAGTTATCCAGGTTCACCACCTTGGAGTCATCTTTCAATTCCTCTTCCTTGGCCAGGCACAGTAGCTCACACCTGTGATCTTGGTACTTTTAGGAAGCCAAGGCAGGAGGTTAGAAAACAGCAAGGAAAGGTTTCTAACCTCCTAACTGGCCTCCCTACTGCCCATCTCTCCACATTTCATTCATCCCCCTTTCTGTTAATAACTTGAGGCCAAGAGTTCAGGACCAGCTTGAGCAACATAGCAAGAACCCCCACCCCCAATCTCTACAACAAAATAAAAAAATATGCATGGTGGCATGCCTCTATAGTGTAGTTCCACCTGGGATGGGGGATCACTTAAGCTCAGGAGTTCAAGGCTGCAGTGAGCTATGATCACACCACTGTACTCAAGCCTGAGTGACAGAGATAAACCCTGTCTCAAAAAAAAAAAATTCTTCCTCAAGGGTGACCCACCCACTCACCCAATCAATTGTCAAGACAGGTGAATCCAACCTCTGTGTTGGCTCCTGTATCCAGCTTTCGTTTGCATTCCCACTCCACCCAGTAAGTTGAAGCCTTAATACTTTTCAGCAAGGCAAGTTTTCTAACCTCCCAACTGGCCTCCCTACTGTCCATCTCTCCACATTTCATTCATCCCCCTTTCTGTTGCCAAATTAATATTGAGAAGGTTTTTGGTCAGGAAAATGAACAAGTTAAAAATTTCTGTGTCATCAAGACCTTCTACAATATGACCTCAACCTAGTTTTTCAGCCTCTCCCCCAGTACATGAATTAGTTAATTCAGTGCTTATCAAGCATCTTCAGTGAACCAGGACTATGTGGAGTAAACTTATTTATGCTATTGCTATTCAATTATTGGGTATTTACTGAGTAAAGACCTTTTCCATTTTATCTTTAAGTTGAACCTATGTGCCTAGAGGAATTTGATGTCATCTGCAAACAGAGATTTCCTTGGCACTCAAACTTAAGAGACATTTATCAATGCACAGATATGCTTTATTGAGTACCTATTTTGGTTAAGCTTTGTACCAGATGCTATCAGTAAAGAAATACGTGAGGCCTAGTTCCTGCCTGCAAGGTGCTCATGACTTGTTGAATAACAAACTTGTAAATCAAAGATGATGATGTATCATGGGGGCTAGGATAGAGATCTGCCTAGGGAGCTGTGTAAGCATTTTTCCAAAAAGGGGCCCCTAACTCAGCCCTGAGGGCATCCTGGAAAAATTGGTGATTTTTTTTATATTAAGTCATAGCTGTGTACATTAATGCAATCATGGGGTATAATGTGGTGTCTTCATATGCAATTCGAAATATTTTCATCAAACTGGTTAACATAGCTTTCATGACATTTTCTTAGTTATTGTGAAATTTGGTGATTTTTAATCTGATATTTTTTGTCAGACAAGTAGAAGTTACATGAGAAAGGGGTGAAGGACTATCCAAGCAAAGGGAACACATGGAAAGGCACAAAGATGGCATGAAACCATGTGAAGCATTCTGGGAATGAAAGGGACTTCTGAATGGCTGAAGCAAAATTTATTTGTGGGAGGACAGGACATAAGGGTGAAGGGGTATTCTAGAGGCAGGGCATATGGAGTATTGTGTGCTGGGCTAAGGAATCAGAATTGAAGGTATAGAACCTATTTGAGGGTTTGGAGTAGAGCGATGTGTATATATATATATGTATATATATATACGTACATATACATATGTATACATATATACAATCATACAGATTTGTGCTTCAGAACAACCCCTCTTGAAGAAGTATGGAAAAATGGTCAACAGAGACTAAGGAAGAGGTTAGCCCACCTTTCCAGCAAAGGACTAGATAGTAAATATTATAGGCTTTGCGGGTCACACAGTTTCTCTTGCAACTACTGAACCCTGCACTTGTATAGACAATACTTAAACGAATGGCATGGCTGTGTCCAATACATTGTTATTGATGGACATTGAAGTTTGAATTTCACATAATTTTCACATGACAAATTTTTTTTTTTTTTTGAGACAGGGCCTCAAGCTGTCCCCCTGGGTAGAGTACTGTGGCATCACAGCTCACAGCAACCTCCAACTCCTGGGCTCAAGCAATTCTCCTGCCTTTGCCTCTCAAGTAGCTGGGACTACAGGCACCTGCCACAAAGCCTGGCTATTTTTTGGTTGCAGCCGTCATTGTTCTTTGGCCGGCCCGGGCTGGATTCAAACCCGCCAGCTCAGTTGTATGTGGCTGGCACCTTAGCTGCTTGAGCCACAGGCGCTGAGCTGACAAAATGTTTTCAAAAACAATTTTTCTCAATCCTTAAAAAAATGTAAAAATCATTTTCAGGTAAGAATGAATGAATGAATGAAAAATCATTCTTTAGCTTCAGGTCAGGGAAAAAAAGGCAGTAGGCTGGATTTGGCCAGTGGCCAAATTTTTCATAATCCCTGGACTAGGTTATGGGGGAGACTACAGGGAATGTAGACAACTCTGTTGAGAAGCTTACCTCTGAAGGGGAAGGGAGAGAGAGCGCAATAGCCAGAAGAAGGTTTAGCTGAAAAACTGTTTCTTAGAAGATACCTCAAAGTGTTTATGGAAAGCCGAAAGAGATAATGAAGAAGGGGCACTGAAGAGGGTGGAGGATGACAGGTGTGATTATTGGAGTAGACCCTAGAAGAGGCAGGAAGAGGCAGGAAGGAAATGACGAGATGTGGAGTACAGGTTGAGGAATTAGCTTCAGCTTCATGAGGGAAGAGGAGACACCTCTTCCACTTCCACTGAGGCTGGAGGGGAGGAAGAAATGATGGACACTGATAGGATATTTAAGTGGATTGCAGGGTGGGATTTTCCCCGTGACAAAAGTGGTAAGGCTGAAATTCCGGGTGAGTTGTCTATATGAGCATTGAAGTCACTCAGGATGATAGCAGGGCTGGAGAAGGGGGTGGCAGGAAAGAGGGAGCCTGTGAACCAGATGCCCAAGCACTCTGTAAATGTGTGGGAGTGACCAGGAAGTCATTAGATGAGGACAAGAAGGAAAAGGGGAAGGTATTAGAGCTTCAAGGAAGGGTGAAGGAATAATGGGCTTGAAATAATAATGGGTAGGCAAAGAGCCAACTCCTCCTTTAGACCACATGATACAGGATGTGAGTTGTGTGTACATGTGTATGTGTGTGTAGGAAAAGTGGGATTGGGATGAAATGAACAGCTTTAGAGCATGTGATATCCTGGGAGAGATTAAGGTAAACGGAGGAGATGGAGAGGCCATCAATTCAGCAACTAAGAAGGTTGGGTTTGTTTGTTCACATGGTAGACCATTCTAGAAAGGATATTGACAAAGATTGGGGGAGGGGGCAATAATGACCAGAGTAAGTAGGTGTGAGTGGGAGTCAGAAGTATAGAGCAGTGCTGGGTCCAGAGAGAAGTCCCTTCTGAGGGGAGCAGAAGATTCATAGGGGTTGGCTGCCTTGTAGCTATTGGCATCTCAAGATTCATCCCAGAATTCAATACAAAGAGGTTGCTGAGGAGGCATGCTAAGTTGCTGGTGCCACATAGAGGTAGAGTGTGGGGCTTGAAGACATTTGCTAACTGTGGTCAGGGAAGCAATCTGTGACTCTGTTTCTCTTCCAGTTCCAAACACTCAGAGAGTGAAAAGTAGTTTTGTGCTGAGGCTGAACAGCCTTGGAATGAGTGGCTAGGCTTGAGGAAGCAGATAAGCTCATTTGCTAGGTCTTCTAGGGTGACCAAGAGAAGTCTGGGGATGGGAATCATGGCAATTCTGGGAAGGATCCTCACCTGGGTTTCTTGCCTCTACAAAATCCAGCCCTGTGTGAAAAGGGCAGTGTGGTTAGGCTAGAGTTTGGGTATAGGAGACAGCCAGATTTCCTGGAAAGACAAAGATAGGCCCAGGTACAGGAGAGAATGGGCACACAGTCACTGTCTCTGGTCTGGCACAGTTTCTGACCTGACAAGGACAAAGCATGGAGTTGAACACCACCCTCGTTCTTTTATTTCATTTAGCTCACCATCCTTGCAGCTTAACTACCTGATTAGTGGGGTGAATACACATTGGGGAAGCTTAGAGTTGCCTGAGTGTTGCTTTAGCAGGGAGTTACGTGGCTATAAGCTGAAAATATTTAAGAATCATGAATTCTAGGCAGAATGATAGAAATTGAATTCATAGTAGTACCACTGATGGTACGAAGAATTTGAGAAAGTATATATTTGTAGAGGAAAAATAATGAGATCATTTCAAAATACTTTAAATTTTTGAGGGTGATAGGAGCTTCAACAGGATATGATCAGAATCTAAGAGAGGCCTGAAGGTAGGGAGGCAAGCCAGGGCTTGAGATCTGTAGCTCATTCATGTAGAAATGGAAGTCTAGGGAAAACAGAGAGCCCACACAAACTAAGGAGTGATCTGAGAAGTATGGAAAAATAGGAACCCACTGTTCTTCTTAAAGGCAAAACTGGGGTATGGAAGTGAGATCAGTGAAAATTCTGGTGTGAAAGGCTGAGAGGCTGAGAACCGAAAAAAAAAAAAAACCGTTCTGAGCAGTACTGAGGAAGAGCGATGAGAGATAGGGGTCAGAGGTAACTTCCCGGCTGGGGACGTTTGTTTTAAAATAGCAGTACAACGGAACAAGAGAAGGAGAAACCTACTGCACCACCCAAGGTTTCTTCTTGGGAAGCGGAGGGGGGCATTTACACGCATCTGTAGATCTGAGCAAAAACTGAGTCTTTGAGAGGTTGGTGAGTTTCTCTGTACAGGTTTCTGACGTGAGCGATGACTTATGCCAGGTGTTTAGATGTAAAGAAAACCGACTACACACACACACACACACACACACACACACACGCTCCACGCCTTTGAATTAATTCTACAATACTACAGTGTTATTTTTCTCCAATGAGGACAAAACAAGGAGAATGCGATTTAAATTCAGAAATGGAGATTGAGGCCACTCCCAAGGGGACAACTTATCCTGTTAAGCGACCCTGGGGGACGATATTCAGATAGGTTATGAAAGATCGATTCCCCTGATAGTTCTAAGAATAGGATCAAAGAATACAGAGCGCAACCTGCCTCTGCTTGATTACAGTGAATGGATGTTTCTTTAGCATAAGTCAATGGATTAGATTCTACTGCCTTTCGTTTTGGGCAGCGCCTGAGCGCTGAGGCCGAAGGGCAAAGAGGTGAAGAGTGGGCTGGAGATGCCGCGGCCCCTTTAAGAACGGCGGCGGCGGCGGCGCGCCTCCGACGGCTTCCCTCGGGCTCCGCCCCTTTCCCGTGAGCCCTCGGGGAGTGGTCCGACCGCGGGCGGCTGCGGGTGCGGAGAGGGGCGGGGGGCGGGGGGAGACATGGCTCGGCGCGGCTGGCGGCGGGCACCTCTTCGCCGCGGCGTTGGCGGCAGCCTCCGGGCTCGCCAGTTCGTGCGACCCGTCTGGTTGCTCCTCTTAGTGGGCGTCTTTGACTGGGCAGGAGCGTCGGACGGCGCTGGCGGAGCGGCGAGAGCCATGGACGAGGAGATCGTGTCAGAGAAGCAAGCCGAAGAGAGCCACCGGCAGGACAGCGCCAATTTGCTCATCTTCATCTTGCTGCTCACCCTCACCATTCTCACGATCTGGCTCTTCAAGCACCGCCGGGCCCGCTTCCTGCACGAAACCGGCCTGGCTATGATTTATGGCAAGTGCCTGAATCCCTGTCAGCCTCTTAGCGTTGTCCCTTTCTCTGCCTGCCGGCAGCTTCGCCTCCTCTCCCGGCCTTCCCTGGCCTACGTTCGGCTCCCTTTCTCATTCCTTCCATTTTCTGCCTCGCCTTCCCCCCTTATGCATTTCTCTGCCTTGGCCCCCTTTTTTTCTGTTACGCCCCCCCCTTTCTCTGCCTCACCCCTTTTCCTCCTCTGCCTCATCCCCCCCATTTTCTCTGCCTCTCCACACCTTTCTGGCTTCCGACCCCACCCCCTTTTTCCTCCACACCCTCCCCCCTTTCTCTGCCAGCTGAGCTCGGACCGGGCTGGAGATGGGGGCGGGGGGTGTGCAGGGTCTCGGATTGGTCTGGGGGGCTGGGGGAGGGGAAGACACCCTTGCGATGGTTTCCCAGAGGTATCAGTTTGTTTAAGGTTCATTGAATCTGCAGTAGTATCTCTGCTGCCCAGAATCTGGCGTTTTTTTGGAGCCAGAGTCGACCTTTACTCATCACCCAGCTCCTGCTACCGCCCTGCCCTTTAGAGGTTGAAGATGAGAACCTTACTCTTGTGGAGCCGGAGTAAAACCCTGAACGTAAGATAGGCTGTAAAAGGCTTAGGGCATTTTTAATGACGTCCTGTTTATCGTACTATGCCTGTAATATCTGATACGGATGCGTACGGTTGACCCTTCCAGTTCAGGCGTACAGAAGTGACGACGAGGAAGAGTTAAGGTTCTTCTCGCAGTGTGGTGTACTATACTATGTGATCAGAACAGTTCAGACAAACAGTAATTACAAAACCACGCAGATGCAGTATGGGTGACTTGCTGTTGCCATCAGGTTATTGACAGATTGTTGAATAAATGGCTTCGGTTCTTGCGTCTCATTGTGCTTTCTTTTCGAGCTTTATTTATTTGTTTGTTTATTATTTGTTGGTGATGAGATGAGAAGAGTAAATCAAAACATGGGCTCAGAAGTATTTTGAGGTGTGCTGGGGCCTCATGAGGGGAAAAGATAACCTATTGCCGACTGCCTTTATCTGACTGTGAAAGTATTGCTGAAGAAGTGAGGGCAGTACCTGTGTGAAGATTATCTTCATTTGAAACAGTCTTAAAGTGATAAGCTTGCTGAGATTTGTCTCTCCGACTAGCAGATAGGTAAATGAAGCTTTGGGGCAAAAAGACATTTCTCCATGCACACCCCCCTCCTCCACCCCACAGCCAGACTTCTGGAATGTGCATTTCAAGGATAGCAAGGAAAGGTAGTCTTGTACATTAGGAAAATTCTAAACCTTTGTGTAAAATATTTCTGCTCTCTATGGTTCCTAGGTATTTAGACATATTTAGTGGTTTTGATACTTAATATGTTTTGTATTTTATTTGCAGTGCAGTGTGCACCTTAAACCAAATTGACCAGATAAGGTGTACATTTCTACATAATTTTCTGTGTAACAGTGATTTATTTACTATCCTTAACAAACATTTGTTGATCAACCTACTATGTATTATGCACAGAAAATACAAAGAAGTATAAAACACTTGCTGTTAAGGAATTTATAGACAGGCCATACAAAGAAAATAATGGCATCTTAAATTTGATTAAATGTGTATCAGTATTATGGTGTTAAAATAAGGAACTAATCACAGATACCTCTTCCTTATAGAGACAGATAATATGATGTGGTTAAAAGTACAAGGCCTTAGACTAGAGATCAGGGAGTTTTTTTCTTTAAAGGGCCAGATAGTAAAGATTTTCAACTTTGCGGTACATAGATATCCAGATCTCTGGTTAGATTTTATTTTTTTACAAATCTTTAAAAAGGTAAAAACCATTATTATCTTTTGGACCATATAACTAAGAACCAAGGGCTGTAGTTTTCCAACCCTTTTTTAGCGTCAGACCGAGATTCCTGTCCCACTGTGCCAACAGCTCTGTGTGGTCTAAGGCAAGTCACTTACCCCCTCTTTTACCCTCACCTATATGTTTAGAATGATGATAGTAAGATTATTGTGAGGAAGAAATGTTTTAGCCTCATATCTAACCTCCAAGTAAATACTCTGAAAGCAGTAGGAGTGCTATTATTGTTTTTATTGCTGTTACAACTGCATTTTCTCAGGTTAGGCTCACACCAGTTCTTCTAATTGCTCAGTCTTTTTTTTTTTTTTTTTTGAGACAGTCTTGTTTTGTCTTCCTCGGTAGAGTTCTGCAGCATCATAGCTCACAGCAACTTCCAACTCTTTGGCACAATCCTCTTGCCTCAGCCTCTTAAGTAGCTGGGATTACCGGTGCCCACCACAATACTTGGCTATTTTTAGAGATGGGGCCTTGCTTTTGCTCAGGCTGGTCTCAAACTCCTGAGCTCAGGCAGTCCACCCACCTCAGCTAGGATTACAGGCATGAGCCACCGAGCCTGGCAATTGCTCAGTCTTAAGTTAAGAGGGAAACATAGTATTTACAAAAAATCAAATAGGGACTTTGAATTGCCCTAAAAATATTTGTTCTTTGGTAGCTGATCTCATTAATTTCATCTAACTCTTGAACTAAAGTAGAAAAGTAGAATGACTGATTGCATTTTATGAAGTTTCTATTTTTTTTTTTTTGAGACAGTCTCTATTGCTCTGGGTAGAGTACAATGGCATCATCATAGCTCACAGCAATCTCAATCTCCTGGGCTCAAGAGATCCTCTTGCCTCAGCCTCCTGAGTAGCTGGGACTGCAGGGGCCTGTCACAACATTGGATAATTTTTCCATATATATATATATATTTGCAGTTTTTTTTGTTGTTGTTGTTTTTGGGGGTTTTTTTGTCCAGGGCTGGGTTTGAATCCGCCACCTCCGGCATATGGGGCTGGCGCCCTACTCCTTTGAGCCACAGGTGCCACCCTTTCTATTTTTAATAGAGATGGAGTCTCACTCTTCTCAGGCCGCTCTCAAACTTCTAAGCTTAAGCAATCTACCTGCCTCAGCCTCCCAGAGTGCTAGGATGAAGTTTCTAAGTTAATAAAAGGTGATAGAGTACCTTAGTAGTGTTAGTATTTTGTGAAGGAAAAAGAAGGACATCCTTTGTGCAAATAAAGTGCAAATCTGGGGCTTATATCTGGGGTTGAGTTGGCATTTCTTAACTTGTCCCATTTTCTCCGTATGGACAATGAGTCCTGTAGACTAACCAGCCTCCTAACTGTCAAATCAAGTTCAAGAATAGATGGAAATGGGCCAAAGTATTTTCAATACCATAAAAATTGAAGTTTTTAAATTCTAATTACTATCAGTCATTTATCTCTTCTTATAGCTCTCACACCATCAAAATCATTGCATTGCTATATTATTTTAAGAGCTTTATTTTTCAGCACGACTTCCACATGAAAAGGGAATGTCTAGACCTCCAAGATTCAGCTTACTGGTAATCTTATTTATTTATTTTTTTTGCAGTTTTTGGCTGGGGCCGGGTTTGAACCCACCACCTCTGGTATATGGGGCCCGTGCCCTACTCCTTGAGCCACAGGCACTGCCTTATTGTTTTTTGGTTTGTTTTTTTTTTTTTTTGAGACAGAGTCTCACTATGTTGCCCTTGGTAGCGTGCTGTGGCATCACAGCTCACAGCAACCTCCAACTCTTGGGCTTAAGCAATTCTCTTGCCTCAGCCTCCTGAGTAACTGGAACTATAGGCGCCTGCCACAATGCCCGGCTATTTTTCGGTTGCAGTTGTCATTGTTTGGCAGGCCTGGGCTGGATTCAAACCCGCCAGCACTGGTGTATGTGGCTGGTGCCCTTAGCTGCTGAGCTATAGGTGCCGAGCCGGTGATCTTATTCTTATGATATTGGTTAAGATCCTTAAATCATGGAAAAAGCTATTAAAAATAAGCTTTGTCTTTATCTTTTTGAGAAGCAAGGGTATAAAAAATGTCTAAATTGCCAATGTGGTCAATTTCTACATTGTAATATAGACTAATTGCTCCAGTTACAAACATACAATCTCAAAGCACTCACATGTTTTATTCAGAGGGCGAGCTTTCTTAAGAAGCTTAAAAGTGAGTGAGTCACTGTTAGTAAACATTGTCCAGGTAGTTAATTAAGTCTGAAAAGTGATCACTCACTGCTGTATGCTTATAGATGGTATAAAAAGCAAAAGATATTTGTTTTGCGTTAAACTCTAGGCCCCCAAAGTCCTAGACTTAGTTAATGTGATTCTTCAATAAACTTTTTTTTGAGACAGCATCTCACTCTATTGCCATTTTTAAATTCTAATTACTATCTGTCATTATTTCTTACAACTCTAACATCATCAGAATTATTGCAATGCTATGTTATTTTAATAGCTATATTTTTTAGTGTGACTTCCAGGTGATGCTCTATTGCCCTGGGTAGAGTGCTGTAGTGTCATTGTAGCTCACAGCAACCTCAAACTATTGGGCTCAAGAGATCCTCTTGCCTCAGCCTCTGGAGTAGCTGGGACTGTAGGCACTTGCCATAACATCCAGCTAGTTTTTTCTATTTTTAGTAGAGATGGGGTCTCGCCCTTGTTCAGGATGATTCCTGATTCCTGAACTCAAGCAATCCATCTACCTCATCCTCCCAGAGTGCTAGGATTATAGGCGTGAGCCACCATGCTTGGCTGTTCTTCAATAAACATTTATTAGATGTCTGCAATCTATGCGATTTAATGAGAAATACAGATACAAGCCATAGTCCCTGCCTACAAAACACTTATAATCTGACGACTTAATATATAATGTTTATTGAGCATTAATTCAAATCCAGCCCAGGCCTGCTAAACAACAGTGACAACTGCAACCAAAAAATGGCCAGGCTAAAGCACTTTGTAAGTAGCATTTTATTTAAACCTTGTAAAAACCTTGTAAGATAGACACTATTATCTTTCCCATTTTATGAATGAGAAAATTGAGGCTCAGAGAAGTTAGAAGACTTGCCTGAAGTCAGATAAATAACTTATGAATATGAGCTAGGATTCGGATCCAGTCAGTCTGGCTCAAAAACCA